ATTTAATTTTATAACAGTCTTTGTCATCAACCAGAATAAAAGGACACAAGATAGTCAGGAACACAAGATTATCATGAGGTAAATTAAATAGTATACAGAACACATAGAAGAAAAAGGTGGGAAAAAAGGGAAATACCCCCTTTATACTTAAAGCAACCAATCATAGCATAGATTGCCTCATGCATGAGTCAGCACTCTCTAACTAATCTACCTCAACTGTGTCTTCTGGCCTATTACAGTATATACTAGGGATGTCAAACTGTCGACCCACGGGCCAGGCATGTCATCCAAAAGCCACACCCATTTCAATCTGGATCGAACTTCAATTGGCTGCTAAAAGTCATAACTCAGTAAAATTTTGGCCCTCTGTACCAGATGTTTTAAAGGAACAGAGATTTGCATTTGATATACCAATCTTCTCTAAGGACTGGGAGAATTATTATGAGTGTTTGTTTGCTTCCACGGAACCTGCAGAGAAACTGTCTTTAAGCAGGGATTTAGTAAACTTTAGAACTCCTCTGCCTTGTCCACCAGTCTTGGAAAAGGAGATATAATCCATCATTGAAAGCAGAAAGAGCAATAAAGCCCCAGGTGAGGATTTCTTACCAGCAGAATTATTTAAGAAATTTCCCAATTGGTGGGGAACAGTATTGGCAGGTCTTTTTACACATATAAATAACACCTGCCATATACCAGGTAGGTGGAAGATGGCATTAGTCTGATTGACATTGCAGCAAAATATATATGCTAAGTATCTTTTAAATAGAATTGAAATCTGGGTAGAGGAAAATCGTATCTCTGCAGAAGAACAATCAGGTTTTAGACAAAGCCGATACACTATTGATAACTGCTTTGTCTTGAACCATCTAATTGCTAGATATGCCTGTAAGAGGAGACCCCTGTTTGCTGCTTTTATAGACCTCACAGCAGAATTTGATATGATAAGCAGAGAAGAACTATGGAGTAAACTGACAGCTCTTAAAATAGAACCTAGACTACTGGTTTTGATTAAAGTCCTTTACACAAGTACCTGTTTGAGGGTGTGGTATGGGATTAATGGGGCTCTGACTAACAGGATTCACACAAATAAAAGGATAAGGCCCCATTATTATTTAGTTTATCAATGATTTGCCAGGGTTAATGAAGGATCCAATGGTACATATGCTGGTGATACTAAATACATACTGTAACAGCTTGTACTATGAGGATGATATGATTTTATTATTGTATTCACAAGTAGGATTATGTAGGCTATTAAGAAGATTCAGCTCTTATTGCCAGGATAACTCCCTAACAATTAGTAAATCTAAATCAAAAATCATGGTGTTTGGAAAACACCAACAGAGACATAGATGGCAATTAGATGGTGACTCAATTGAACAGGTTAACACCTTTGTGTATTTAGGTGTAAATTTTTCCAAGACTGGAGCTTAGGCTGCCATCACCAACAGAGTACACTTAGAGCAAAAGCCCATTTAAATTTACTGCTTAAACTAAAGAATCATAGTTACCCAGGGTCCCTAGCCCCATTAATTAAAGTATATAAAGCTAAGGTTCCCCCTATATTCTTGTATGGAGCAGACGTTTGGGGTCTATACTCAACCATAGTCCTACAACAAACACAGTCCCAACATTTGAAATATATTTTGGGTGTAGATCTAAGAACATCTGTTGCAGTAGTTAGAGCTGAATTGGGAATTCATACAACTCATGAATTACCCAAAATTAGAGCATATAACCATGGTGGGATTGAACAGATTTGCACCGCTTCAGCAGAACAGATACCTATTTTTTTGTTGCCCAGGCCCAGAATGGACTTCCAGAAGTGGCATACACACAAAGAACCTGTTGTTCACATATTTGAATCCCACCACTGCATATAACTATTGGCAAAAAGTCAATGAAATAGAGACTGGTAGACTCCCCAAGTTATGTCTGCAAGAGCAAATACAATTATAATCACAAAGCTCCTGGATCACCAAACTAACAAATGTTGTAAGAAGCTGTGGTCTTCCTGTCTCCTGCATAATAGGAGAATGATTTAAAAAAAGAACTGCCCAAAGCATTAAGGATATAGAAACACAAAATGACATAGCTATCCTTATAGGGTGGGTAACTTGAAATGGCTGAGCAAATACGAACATACTTTTCAGCTAGACTGCTATCTGAAGTTACAACTGCCAAAATATCTAAGGCACATATTTATGCAATCAAGATTCAAACAGCTTGACACAATGGTTAAATATGGGAGATTCCATTCTATACCCTACAATGAACAACTCTGCATTTGCATAGTACCAGAGGTAGAAGGCCTGGGTAACATGTTATTTGATTGTTGCTTGTATAAGAGGGAGAGAGATAAGTACCTCAGTCTATATACCAAAATGAATGACCCATTGGGCTCCCCATATCAAAACAACTTACTTTATATGTGGCCAGAATTTGAAAATAACGTTTAACCCAGAACCGTACTTAAGCAAAATGGTCAAGTTGAGGTGGGATTGCAGCGGTGACACCAAAATATAATTTTATTATATTCTATCTATATCTTAAATTATTGTATTCTATTCCAATTTCATTTTATTTTATTCCAATTTCGTTTTAAATTGTATTTTATCTAATTCCATTATCAACTGTTTTTATCAAATTTAGTAATAATTTATTTCTGGAACTTTGCACTTTAATATGGCTCAAGGGCTAATCAATAAATAAGTTAATGAAGTTTAATGAAGAGAAGGATTAGGGGGGACATGATAGCAGTGTTCCAATATCTCACGGACTAAGGAGAAACTTCCTGACAGTGAGAACAATTAATCAGTGGAACAGCTTGCCTCCAGAAGCAGTAAATGCTCCAACACTGGAAGTTTTTAAGAAGAGACTGGACAGCCATTTGTCCGAAATGGTGTAGGGTTTCCTGCCCGAGCAGGGGGTTGGACTAGATGACCTCCAAGGTCCCTTCCAACTTTACTACTATTACTATTACTATTACTATTATCCAAAGCACGTGAAGGCAAGACAAGATAGAAACTAACCAAAGACAGATGCAACCTAGAACTAAGGAGAAATTTCCTGACAGTTAGAACAATTAATCAGTGGAACAACCTGCCTCCAGAAGCTGTGAATGTTCCAACACTGGAAGTCTTTAAGAAGAGATTGGACCACCATTTGTCTGAAATGGTACAGGGTTTCATGCCTGGGAAGAGGGTTGGACTAGATGATCTCAAAGTTCCTTTCTAACACCATCCTCCTCCTCCTCCTCCTCCTCCTCCTCCTCCTCCTCCTCCTCCTCCTCCATATATATATATATATATATATATATATATATATATATACACATATATATATATATACATACATACACAGTATGTATATATATATATATATATATATATATATATATATATATATATATATATATATGGAGGGGGTAGATTGCAGCGGTGACACCAAAATATAATTTTATTATATTCTATCTATATCTTAAATTATTGTATTCTATTCCAATTTCATTTTATTTTATTCCAATTTTGTTTTAAATTGTATTTTATCTAATTCCATTATCAACTGTTTTTATCAAATTTAGTAATAATTTATTTCTGGAACTTTGCACTTTAATATGGCTCAAGGGCTAATCAATAAATAAATTAATGAAGTTTAATGAAGAGAAGGATTAGGGGGGACATGATAGCAGTGTTCCAATATCTCACGGATTACCACAAAGAGAGGGAGTCAAACTATTATCCAAAGCACCTGAAGGCAAGACAAGAAGCAATGGATAGAAACTAACCAAAGACAGATGCAACTTAGAACTAAGGAGAAACTTCCTGACAGAACAATTAATCAGTGGAACAACCTGCCTCCAGAAGTTGTGAATGTTCCAACACTGGAAGTCTTTAAGAAGAGATTGGACCACCATTTGTCTGAAATGGTACAGGGTTTCCTGCCTGGGAAAAGGGTTGGACTAGATGATCTCAAAGTTCCTTTCTAACACCATCCTCCTCCTCCTCCTCCTCCTCTTCCTCCTCCTCCTCCTCCTCCTCCATATATATATATATATATACATACACAGTATATCCCACCATGTGCAACCCACCTTCTTGGTCATATTTTCCTGACCACAACATACCTGTGAGATGGGATGGGATGAGAGACAGTTTTTGCCTTAAGGTCATCAAGCTGGCTTTCAAGGCCAAGGAAGGACTTGCACTTATGGTCTCCCATTTTCTAGTCCAATGCCTTTAACATTAGACCAAACTGAAATACTTTTAAACATAGAAATTATGTTTAATTATGTTAAACCTCTATGAAAGAAGAGTCGGGATTGCAATGGCACCATATCAAGGTCTTTCCTGAAATTGCATAATAAACCCCCTTTATTCTTCCAAGTAGCTGAGAAATGCAGTGCTTTTTTTTTTGTTAAAAAAAAAAAGTGCTGGAACTCACACACATTATACAATCAGCCCACCCTGCAAGATTCCATCCCAAAAAAAGTGCCGGAACTCTGTTCTGGGCATTCTATGATAAAAAAAGCCTTGGAGAAATCCATCTTCACTTCTTCATTTCTATAGACAATGAATTGCAAATGAAAATCTCCTAGAGCAACCCCATCTCCAATTCTTTTGTGCCATCTTCAAAGCAAGATTCCCTATCTTCTGTAGGGTCTCCAGTTTCCATGTTCTCATACAAAAAAGGTTTGCGCGATGGGAGCAAAGCCATTTCAAAGAAGTCCTCCTCTCCTTATCCAAATCAACAATCAACACATATATTGATGACTGGAAAACAACTATAAATAATTAAACACTCTTGGAAAGAGGTTGAAAATGCTACAATAAAAGCACTTCTTTTGATATGGGCATAATAAATCTTGCTACTAAGAATAATCTTTCACAAAGCCTTGTTTGACAGAAATAAAACTTCTATATATATCCTGTAGACAGCAAACAGTCTTTCTATTCTTTTTTGTGAGCAATCTTTCCTTTCAAGAAAGTTCACATAGGATACTAATTTCTCTTTGTGAGTTGCTCCCTGTGATTGAGGTCAGGCCTAAAAACAATTATGTAGCATTTTGGGAAAAATATACATCCCAGTAATGCAGCGCTGGAGGACAAGATGGAGAAGATCTCCACAGCTACCATGGCTTTTCCTTTTGTGCTCAGATAGGCTGGAAAGAAGGAGATCCACACACTGCAAAAGGCCAACATGCTGAAGGTGATGAACTTGGCTTCATTGAAGCTGTCAGGTAGTTTACGGGCAAGAAAAGCCAGAAAAAAGCTGGCAATGGCCAAGATACCCATGTAGCCTAAGACACAATAAAAGAAGAAAGCTGACCCCTCATTGCACTGCAAAATTATTTCTTGGAGTTTTGAGAACATGTCCAACTCAGGGAATGGTGGGGATGTTGACAACCAAATAATACAAATCAATACTTGGAAGAGAGAACAGGAAAGGACAGTACAAAAAGCCAATCTTTTCCCCACCCATTTCCTCATCTGAGATCCTGGTTTAGTGGCCATGAAAGCCACAACTACAGTGATGGTTTTAGCCAATACACTAGAAATGGCCACTGAGAAAGTGATACCAAACATTGATTGTCGGAGAAGGCAGATCACTTTGCCAGGATGGCTGAGAAAGAACAAAGAGGAGAGAAAACAGAGCAGAAGAGAGACAAGCAGGGTGTAGGTGAGGAACCTGTTGTTGGCTTTGACAATCGGAGTATCCCTGTGCTTAATAAAAGTTCCAAGTATCCAAGTTGTCAAGAAGAAGAAACAAAGAGCTGCTGAGGCTAAACCAATTCCTAAGGTTTCTTCAAAAGTTAGAAATACCATCACTTTCAGGATACATCCATTCTTTTCTTTATTTGGATACTGATCTTCTGAACATTCAAAACAGTCATCCATATCTGGAAGAAAAATCAAGGATACTTTTTCATCTAGGCATTTCATATTACTGAAAATTGTCTTATTAATTTTATGCCTCCAAGTAATTTATTAAAGTTTGCTTAATTCTAATAAAAAATGATAAAATTCCTACCCTACCATTTTGATTTGAAATCTTCCCTTCTGGGCATGGAACACAGGCATAGCAGCAGAATTGATCCCCCTCAATCCCTTTCTTCCAGGATGCAGGGAAACAAGGGTCATTGCATCGAGAAAGTGGAAGAACCTGGTGATAAGCATAAAATGTTTTGAAATTGGGGGTATTTAAAACAGTTCGTATTTTTTCTCCTTTATTGTGGGGAATTATTTTTGACTTCTGAAAGAATACTTAATTTATCAACTTCATCAACAAGTTAAAATGCATAGAAATTACAGTGATGTACAAAAGGTTTTTTTTATGTGTTTTGTGATTTATTTGGTAGATGCATGTTTATTACATAGAAAATTGCAGAAAGCCCAACAATTGTTTATTATTGAAAATTTTTAAAATTTTTACAAAACAACCCTACCCAACCCACCCCAAGCCTCCCACTCCCTCCCCCAGCCTTCCCAGAGCTGAATATAGGCTTAATTAAAATTTCATAAAGTCTTAAAAAAAATATAAACCATAAATAAGTCTAAATACATTACTTAGACAACTTATGAAATGATTAACAATAAAAAACAAAAAAAGCAAAAGCATAAGTATTAAAAATAGAAAATACTTAGAAAGAAAAAGAATAAAAAAAGAAAAAAAGGAAAAAAGAAAAGAAATATAAAAAGATAAAATAAAAATAAAAAATAAAAATAAAAAAGGAAGAAGAAGAAAAAGTACAATCTATAAGATATTAAAATATATGTAAATTATTGAAAAACTAAATAATATTTTTATGTCCAACTTATGTTGTATAAAATCTATCCATTTTTCCCATACCGCAAAATACTTCTCTTGCGATTGATCCTTTAAAAAAGCCGAAATTTTTGCCATTTCTGCCAAGTAAGACACTTTAAAAAACCACTCTTGCAAAGTAGGCAAAGATTCCTTCTTCCAACATTGCCCTACTAACAACCTTGCGGCTGTGATTAAATTTAACATCAATATAACCTCCTTAGTGTCACAATCTGTAACAATACCTAACAAAAATAATTGTGGCGTAAATTTTACCCTCCTTCTAAAAATTCTTTGCATATTCCACCATATCTTAATCCAAAAGGCTTTTATATTTTTACACGACCACCAAAAACCAAAACATTTTTTTTTTGAAGGGCAGGATGAATAAACAAGTGCACGTGTTGACAATCTAATGGAAAAGTAGCTACTCTCATGACTTAAAACACAAATGCTAACCAAATGTGCAAACATGGCTTTTACATTTTTATGTAAATGCTTCATCATCAACAACATTTGAAAAGAATATGCCATTGTTTCTTTAAAAAAACCAGAAATCAGATATGAAAAGAGATTGTGTTCAATATGGGACAATAATGAATTATGGCATTGTCTATTTACCTGGTTAAAAGCTGGATTCCAGACGATCACATCTTCATCAATGAGTAATTCCTTCCCTTTTGGGGCCTGTAGATCCAGCTTTCCAACTCTAACTCTCTGAAAGGATCTGTTTGGAAAAGTTATCAAGTTGGTGATGTCGAATCCACCTGTTGCTTTTCCTTTCTCATTCGGGAACACTCTCTCCCCAACTGAATTGTTAAAAGAAATGCCTTGAAGAAATGAATGGAGCTACTTAAAAGGAAATAGAAGAGAAAGGGAATTGAAAAGCTAATAATGGAGAAGAGAACACCATATTCAATTTTCATTCACTCATTCTTACCATTCCTATAACTATTATTATATATGTATGCTTAGAGGTTTGATAATTGATATTGCGTGGAAATAATTAATTAATTAATTTTATATTACTTTAAGGAAAGCTAAGAAGGAGTTGAAGCAGAATGAAAATACACTTTTGGAATTAGGTAACTTCCTTCAATTATGATTTGGGTTTCCTTTTGAAAGAACTAATTCAACCTAATCTATATATAATCTTTCCTCATTGATACAAAGCTATTTTAGAGTTTGAGGTCTGACTAAATTCCTCTAACAAAATTTTAGAATCTGAGCTTTCTTTGGTAGATAGATTAGTGGTATAGATAATTGCAAACATAGGTTTGGTTCATACTATGTATGCATATATTAAAAAGACCACTTTTATTTTATTCCTGTAAAACCCTGATAGAGACAGAAACTGCATGAGCCACATAAAAAGTTCTTGGAGAATTATTTTTGGAGGGGACAATGAAAAGTAATTTAAATTATCATTTTAATTATCTCTTATTTTGGAAGCTATGGTGATTAATTAAATAACTCCTGCCCGCATCTAAACCATAATTCATAGAGTAGCTTCTTGATGATCAGAATAACAATAAGAACAGAAACTGTTATTTCTATATGTATTTTAGATATAACAGTAAAATACAGTTGCAAGGAACATTGGGGGTCTTCTAGAACAACACCCTGCTCAAGGAGAAGACGCTGTACCATTTCACACAATTAGCTATCCTTCTCTTCCTAGAAATCTCCCGTGTTGGATCATCAACAATTTCTGAAGGAAAGTAGTTCCACTATTTAATTGTTCATTGTTCTTGCAATCAGGAAAGTCTTCCTTATTTCTATGCTGTTTCTGATACTTGATTCCACATGCAGAAAAGATTAAGACATTCTACAATGAATTCAAAAGATTTATTGTAGAATGATTCATTCATTCATCAAACTGCTCATTGAAATGAAAGTGGTATCAAATGCAAAGCGAATACCTGCCAAGCCTGCAGATTTAGAAAATCGGGTTTTTTATCCATTTTAGTCTTCTTTCTATTGAACTCCAGAATGAGTAGACCTTGCAAAGCATGAGCCACAGCATAAACAGCATTGTAGATACTATAGCTTTGGCCAATCATTTCCATTTCAAATACAGGTGCAGGAAGGTCCTCCAGCTTCATCTCCCCAGTGCATTTCCTACTCTGCATTTTTTGTAACTCTGATTTTGGAAATGAACAATCAAATGATTGTTCCCAAACTTCCTGCAGAAACCCATTTCTGTTGTCTGAAAGAGGATTTACAGTCTGAAGAAATTCCTTGAAACCTACAACTGCTCTTGAATGAACAGTGAAGGAAATAGCCCCATGGAACATCTTGAGATCCCATGTGATTTGAAATCCTGATAATATGAAATCAATCTGTGCAGTCATGATCCACACCTTTCTAAATAATGCCATTTCTTTGGTTTCAGGATCTGCCAAAAATGTAACAGTTCTTAGCCACATAATAGCCCAGGATTCTCCATAGACAAGAAATGCATTGGCTTTGCTGTTCATCAAATTAATGGAGATAATTGAGATTTTATGATAAACTTCTGGGAAGTCCTCCAAGTGAACCAGTTGTGGAAGCCTTTCTATGAACGATGAGCAGATTCCGTTCTCTGAAAGTAAGGACTGCATTTTTTCTAAGAAATTTTCTCCATTGTTGTTATCAACAGCAAAAATCCCAATCCATGTCCACCCAAAATGGTGAAGTAGTTGGATAATCCCAATGTATTGATGGTCTTCTTTTGGGACCATGCAATAAAGTGAAGAGAGCTTACTGGTCTGAAATGCATCTTGGTCCAATGAGCCATATGTCAGCTAAAAAAAAAGTGGAGTACAATTCTGTTCAATTATTAAATGGAACCTAATTTTTCTAGTCTAGTTTTTCTATAAAATATATCCAAGAAACATTTTTTCCTAGCGTTCTCCTAAATATTAATACGAAAGGAATGTGTTGAAATTAGTTCAAGCACATTTAAAAGATCAGTTGTTTTAATATGAGTTTAAGAGTAGTACATTCAAATCTTCGCATAGATATGGAATGTCTCTAGATATTCAATTCCTGCAATGGGCATTGTAGTATCAGAAAAGAATGCTACATAGCAGACCGTAAGACATGCAGAACATCCTAATACAAAACCAAGTATTTGATGCTCATTAATTATTCTGTAATAACAACAGCAACAACAACAACATATAGTTTTTTTTCTCCTCAACCCCATCACAGCTTACTTGTGAAAACTTGAAGAAACCCATTATTTCAGCGATATAAGATGATGTATCAAAATCCAATCCTCCAATAATAGCCATGAGTTTTTTCTGGCTATCACATTTGTAGTTAAGGACAAATTCCTGGGATTTGAAAAGCAGGTCCAGAGTGGTACGATAGGTCATTTTAGGATTGATGTAACTATCATAGATATGGAACCCAAGAGTGATGTTAGGTAAGATCTGGGAGTCCTCATTGATCTCCTTCACAGCAAAGGCCAAGGCAAGGACGTGCTGATGAAATTTGGTGATTATACTGCAAATAATTGAAATACCCTTGTTGAAATAATTGAAATACCCTTGTTATGAGCTGACAATTCTCATAAGGCGGCATTATTTCTTAAGAATAATAGCCATTTCTTTCTTTGATAGTAGTAAAAACATAATATCCTTTCTATAATTCATAATTATAAGCCCTGATGATATCACCTAATTTGTTTAATTAAATGTCTGCAAGACAATAATCAAATTCAGAGAGCATCAAGGACCCCTCATTTCAACCCTGAGCTAAAATATTCTCCTTTATTGATAATTTCTACATTGTTTAAATTTATGTTTTACACAGTATTTCAATGACCTGTAAGAAATATATACTTTTCAAAGTTCTATATTTATTTTCTATGAGATTTTCAGAAAATGATAAATGAACAGATTTAGCAGGTGTCACCATTTATTGTTTGTATGTTTGTGGAGGAGAGATAATGCCAAACTGTTTTAAAAATTAGCTCAATTTCAGTACATGTTCAACAATGTGTGTGAATGTCTTTAAAAAAAATGTAAAGAATATTATTTCTTCTGCAAGAACCAGATGTAATTGAAAGACACAGAAAGCATAGATTCCATAGAAGAACACTATATTTATGCACAAACAACTTTTACTTTTTGGACATCAGGCTAAGTTAGATAGCAAAGGACAATTCTTACATTGGTACATCATTAGGTCTTCTGCCAGGATGTTCATTAAATTCCATTTCAAAAAAGTGGTAAACCATGTGGGACGCTATTCCACCAATGATGAAGTCTCCAGGCTGGTACCACTCATGTGGAACAAGGAAAGCATTACTTGCAGGGCACCTCAAAGTAGCTACTTTGTACACTAAGAAAATCAGAAAGTACATCTTGATGCTTTCATTCTTGTGAAAATGTTATGTCTTCCACCCTAACCATAGGGAAATATATATATATTCCTATACTTCACCTAAGAATTAATCCAAGGTTTATATCTAAGAATGCATCTAAATAGAAAATCTATCATTTTTTATTTGAAGATGCATGAGAGTGCAACTTGTATCTTGAATATCACAAGAACCGGGACAGATACTTTGGCAGAAAAGAACAGAGGGTAGAAACTTGAAGCAATGTATTTGACAGTGACACTATTAACCCTCGTACCAAACTCTCTGTGGTTCATGACTTACATTATATTTTGATTGTTGTTGAATTTAAATACCCTTCTGTGCAGCCTTTGATGTTTGGGCTAAGCTAAAAAAAAATGGTGATTCCTCTAGGAGATAATTTTTTTGTTTTGATGAGATAATGTCTGATGGTTCATCGATTTTTTTAAATGAGCAATGGCCAGCAAAAGTAGTATAAAGGATGGATTCCAGTGAAGATGGAGAACTGATGACATGCCCGGGGAGAGAGATTTATTTATTTTTTAAATGAAGGATACAAAGTTGTAATTTGAAGCTTAGTCTGCTTTACTGTGGGTGGCTAAAATGTTCTGATTTTTATGATTCCTTATTGGCCAGCAAATCCTAAGGGACTTACAAAAAAGCTACTCTTTGAAAAAAGAGGGAGTTAGAGGAGAAAATTATGAGAGATATATTTGAAAAATCCTTAAATAAAATTCACTAATTCATAAAATAAAACTCATTAGTTCATAGATCAGCTATCCATATATGTTTAAAAAAACCTAGTCAAACTCCTTCAGAGATACAATTATGTGTAGAACATTATCAAACTACCAAGGCAATTGCACAAGCAGCTGGCAACGTAGAGGAGTCAATTGCAATTTTGGAATATAAATCTGACATCAATCTTTATTGTGATGGTTTAAACATAAACCTCCCAACATAATTGAAAGAAGAGTTCCAAGAAAACATGCAACTTTCAAAGAGACAATTTTGGGACTTTTTCTTCATGAGCACTAATAATGTTGAGACATCCTTGAGAAGTTTATGACTACTTGATTAACATTCCAAGAAGAAAAAAAAATATTTTATGAAGATAAACTAGAAGGAGTGACTGAAACATAATATGTCAATTGGAATTTGGATGGATTTTCAGCTGTTTGATATTAGCAATAGAATGAAAATTTTAATGTAAAGTCGATTTGAAAATGAGTTTTTTTCCTTTATATATAATGCTTAAGTAATTCCTAAAGCTTGCAAAATATTAGAAGTTTTAGGATAATTAATAATCCTAAATTATTATAAGTTTAATAAATATTACAAGATTTACCATCATTCAAAAGTATATTTGAGTTATCTGTGTTAAGAGAAAATTAAAGAAAAATACGTATTAGCTTAAAGAAAAGTTTAGAGTTTTAAAAGGGATGTATACAGGAAGAATTTTTTTTTATGAGGATAACTTGGAAGGAGTGATTTAAGTTTGATGAATTAATTGTAGTTACTTGGAATTTTATTAGTGTAACTGAAAGCAATGTACGTTAAATGGAATTTTTTTAGAAAGATGTATTAGAACTTTTTGATTTTAGAAATGTTTTTAAATAAAAGTTTAGTGTTTTCAAATAGATTTCAAATAGATTTTAACAAGTATTTTTTCCCTCTAAGCTTAAAGAGTCTGAAAGTGATAGTAAATTTTTTAAATATAAATGGTGATAGTTTATAAAGATTTTTAAGTGCAAACAGAAATGTATATTTTTTCCACAGCAAGGAAGAAAAAGCAGAAATGTTTAAATGGGTTGCTTTATTCAAAGAGAAGAATATACTTAATTATATTTTGTATTTGGAAATCACTTTTAAATTTTGTGTTGTGATGAAAAAATGAAACTTTTCCTGATTAGATAGATTCATTGTTATAGAAATAGCTAGTATATAATGTTATTATCTTCTACTGTGCTAAAAAGAGTGGGAAGTCAATGCTTTTTTCTTTTTTCCTTTATACCTTATATTTTCTTTTCCTCTTTTTTTCCTTCCCCTAATTTTCTATTTTTATTTTGCTTTGTATTTTATAGACCTCACAGCAGCATTTGATATGGTAAGCAGAGAAGTAATAAAATAACGTTTAACACAGCACAGTACTTAAGCAAAATGGTCCAGTTGAGATCTGCATATGTGGGACTGATAGGGTAGATTACAGAGGTGACACCGAAATATAATTTTATTATTTTCTATCTATATCTTAAATTATTGCATTCTATTCCAATTTCATTTTATTTTATTCCAATTTCATTTTAAATTGTATTTTATCTAATTCCATTATCAACTGTTTTTATCAAATTTTAGTAATAATTTGTTTCTGGAACTTTGCACTTTAATATGGCCCAGGGCTAATCAATAAATAAATTAATGAAGTTTAATGAAGAGAAGGATGAGGGGGAACATGATAGCAGTGTTCCAATATCTCAGGGATTACCACAAACAAGAGGGAGTCAAACTATTATCCAAAGCACCTGAAGGCAAGACAAGAAGCAATGGATAGAAACTAAGGAAAGACAGATGGAACCTAGAACTAAGGAGAAACTTCCTGACAGTTAGAACAATTAATCAGTGGAACAAACCTGCCTCCAGAAGCTGTGAATGTTCCAACACTGGAAGTCTTTAAGAAGAGATTGGACCGCCATTTGTCTGAAATGGTACAGGGTTTCTTGCCTGGGCAGAAGGTTGGACTAGAGGATCTCAAAGGTTCTTTCTAACACCATCCTCCTCCTCCTCCTCCTTCTCCTCCTCCTCCATATATATATATATATATATATATATATATATATATATATATATATATATATATACACAGTATGTAGCCCCTTTATGGATTACTGCCTTGTCGTGGCGAAGGGGCTTGTGAAACTCAATGAAGCTATAAGCTATGCCATGCAGGGCCACCCAAGACGGACAGGTTATAGCAGAGAGTTCTGACAAAATGTGATCCACTGGAGAAGGAAATGGCAAACCACTCCAGTATCTTTGCCATGAAAACCCCATGGACAGTACTAAAAGGCAAAAAGATATGACGCTGGAAGATGAGCCCCTCAGGTCGGAAGGTGTCCAATATGCTACTGGGGAAGAGCAGAGGGCTAGTACTAGTAGCGCCAGAAAGAATGAAGCGACTGGGCCAAAGCCGAAAGGACGCTCAGCTGTGGATATATCTGGTGGTGAAAGGAAAGTCCGATGCTGTAAAGATTTTTTCTCCATAGGAACCTGGAATGTAAGATCCATGAATCAAGGCAAGCTAGACGTAGTCAAAAAGAGATGACAAGACTGAACATCGACATCTTAGGAATCAGTGAACTAAAATGGACAGGA